GTTCCTTTTCTTGTCATGTGACAAAAACACATGGTGGGAAAACCTATAGGAGGATGACTATTTTGGCTCTGAGAGTGTTTGTCCATCATGATGGAGAGTTTGGCTAAACACAGTGGCATCATCCATCATGATGGCCAGGAAGTAGAAAGAAGGCAAGGAAGGGATAGGGACAAAATACTCCCCAAGGACATGCTCCCAGTGTCCTAATTCTTTCAGCTTTGTTCCCACCCCCAGAGTTTCTAGAATTTCCCATTAACAGTGTCACCAAGTGTTTAAAATAGTGGCCTGTGGGAGACATTTTGTACCAAACCATAACAGAATCTTGCTTAGAAAGGCTTTGGGACCTGGTGTGGCTCAGTGTTAGAGCACTTGCCTAGCGTGTACAAGGCCCTGGGTTCTATCCCCAGTGTTCTAAAACAACAATAAAACAAAGTCTTTGACTTATTTTTGGTTTTTGAGACAAGGTTTCTGTATGTAGTGTTGGTCACCTGTCCTGGAACTTGATATGCAGCCTCTACTTCCAGAACACTGGAATTAAAGGTGTAGATGGCACACCTAGCTCAAAACAAAGGTCTTAGTGAGCTCCTCGTATGGTTCTGATTTTTTACTTTTAATTTTTAGATGTTTCCACGATACCTTTTTGTGGAGAGTAAATGGTTGGATGGACTTTCTTCTGCCACCTTTCCCTACTGCTGGTTATTAAATATTAACTCATGTTTGAATTGCTGCCTTCAAAAGTCATATCCTCAGTCTCCAAGTGTTTTCTGAACTTCCAGACATCTATTCTCTGGTGCTTAGGTATCGCAGTCCTGAGCTCTTTATGGTTTATTTATTTTCCTTAAGCTAGTTTTCCTTCTCTCATCTCATCTAAGTTTGAAACTAAGCATCCCAGCCTGCCAGTTCTGAAGTGAAGTGTCTCTGCCTGTGTGCCGCTCTTGGCCCACCCCGTTAGTAGTCTCCATTTGGATACTTACGCACTGTGGCTTTGCTAAATGTCATACATCTGTCAAACGTCTTAGGTTGCTAGTGGGTCCAAGGAGACCATCCTTGTTAAGCCGGCACCGGGAGTTCAAGTGATGAGTGCAAGCCTCCCTCCCGCCTGCTCCAGGCAGGTCAGCAAGACCTCTGTTCTGGGAACAGGGTGTCGCTGACCTGCCTCTTCCCACACACAGGCTCCTTGCCAGCTGAGGCCTGCTGGACTGTGCAGGAAGTGCCCCCACAGGCTGTGTCTGGGATTCACAGTTCTGCTGCCCTGTGTCCACCCAGTGCCCTCTGTTTCCGCTGGGTCCTGTAGCAGAAGGGGTGTCCTTAGAGCCTGTCTGGAGACTACTGGGAAGAGCTGCCTCTGTGCCAGTTCTCAGACTCACAGCAGAACTGACCCGGCCCTGATGGCCTCCATGGAGGCGGCCTCCCTGCGCTGTTGGGGAAGTTAAGAGTGCTCTCCCAGTGGTCTCTTCACAGTTGGCCCTGTGGGTGTGTTGGGGTAGAGCCACCACAGCTTACCATAGTGACCTATGAGGATTTGCACTTCTAAAAGAGGACGGGACAGAGGGATTGGGAGCCGGAGAGGACTTGGATGTCTGAAGTAGTGTGGGGGAGGGGGAGTGGCTGGACACGTGGCTGGGAGAATTGGAGAGGGCAGCCTTAGTGTGTGGGGGCTGCTGTCCCATTATGGATGTTGACAGGCAGGCAGATGGCAGTCCCTTTGTGGATGTTTGCAGAGAAAATCTGGATGCTGGAGGAGGAGCTAGACTTGGGAAAGAGGACTGTGGGAGTTGCTGGGGGTGAGGGAACAAGCCCAAAGACATGCTGTAGGACAGTTTTTTCAGATTTCTCAGATCACTGGAGAGAAGGAAACCCCTGCAATCCTGTGGCTAATGAAAGCCGGTGTGGGAAGTCCAGTGCGCTGTGCCAAAGACCTGGTGAGTGCCGGCAGAACCACAGAGAACACCAGATGACAGCTAGGCAGGAAGTAGCCACTAATAGCCAGATAAGATTGCCTACAGTCAGGGGAGGAGAAGACAGTCATGAGTTTTGAGGAGATATGTTTATATTTGGAATGGGGTCTTCCTGGACTGGTCTCAAACTTGGTCTTCCTACCTCAGTCTCCTAAGAAACTGGGATTATAGGTGTGTGTTTGCTATGCTGAGAGAGTATTCTGGCAATATATGTCAAAAATTATATAAAGCCTTTGACCCAGAATTCCCCCCATAGGACATTATCTTTCCGGAATACTTGCAGAGTTATGTAAAGATGCAAATATACCATGTCCATTGCCATTTTGATGAATTACAAGCATTCCAGATGATGGTCTGTAAATAATTTCACGATGTAATCAAATGCATATTAATGTAGAAAGACCTCCATCCAATATGGATTAAGTGAAAAGAGAAAAATGAGAACCACATTTGATACGCTCTGCCAGGATAACAAAAGTACACACATGGTTACGTGTTACTGCACATGTTGAGATGATCTACAGCAGTTTACATCATACGCTAACACAGGTGGCTCTGGGACTTGGGACTAAAAGGACTTCCCCTTTCTAAAGCCTTGATAGCTGTTTTAATTTCTTCCCTCTAGCATCTACTAATATTTAAGAGAAACATTTGATCTGGGGACGTGAAAGCCACAGGAGTCAGTCCGGCGGGAGGAAAGCTGTGGACAGAGAGGACTGAGGGGCACAAGTCCCAGGGCTGGCCAGCAGGGACAGGTGGGGCATGTTCCTGAGGAGCACAGAAGTCTGTGGTAGGAAGATGCAGGCAGCCAGGTCAGGGTACCCAGAGGTGAGGAGAATGACTATCAGTGTGAGAGCAGGCTGGCCTGCTGACCCATGGCCTCCCCTTGTTTCTGCATTGCTGGAGGACACACTGCTAACTTGTTGCCAGTTTGCTTCTGTGCAAAAAAGAAATTGGGAGAAATCGGCATATTCTTAGATGCACCCATTGTTCCAAGACTTTTGTTCACAAGCCTGGGACTCGTGCCTAAATGCCTGTGCTGGCTGCTAGGAAGGAAGATGCTCTGCCCTCCGTGCCCCCGTGGCTGTAGTATTCATGCCGCTCTTTAAGGCCGCACAGTAGATGGAGCCGTGGTGCTCTAACTGGCCTTTGTTTGTATGGTTTCCACAGTTCCTGACCTAGTCTCTCTCCTTTTCCTTCTAAAGTTGGATGGTGACTAATGTTGATCACAAAGGCATTTTGTGATCCCTCACTGTCAAGCCTGAGCCTTTTCTTTAGGCCTGGGGATTTCACTATTTCACTGTCATCCTGGCATAATAAGCCCCTCTTAGTGTTCTCCTCACCCCAGGACTTCTGTTCTATTTACCACTACCAACTAGGGCAGGTGAACAGCCTACTGCAGGGGCCTATATCCCCCCCCCCCCCCCGTGGCTTTCCCTACCTTTCTGTTTCTTACCTGAAATCTACGCCCTTCCCCCCAAGTTCACCCGGTAAAGAATGGATATCTGGAGGGTTTCAGAAGCGAGTGTCTTATACATGGCCCGTGCTTCCCTGTCCGAATCAGAGCTTTGGAGCTGGTTAGGCTTGCTTCAGGAACTATATTACTATAAACCTCCTTCCGTGGTTTGGTTTTTGTGGGTTTGTTGTTGTTTGCTTTTACTGTATCCTTCTATGTGATGTGAGCCAGTTTTTTTAAGAGTATTTTAAATTCCAACACTTGATCAGTGGGAGTCCCCAGTGTCTTTGCTCTGAGCTGGGACTTGTTCCGAACCTCATCTTTCCTGGCTTCCATGGGTGATTCTTTTGTTCTTAGGGTTTTTGGGTTTGGGGGCTGGGGGCGGTCAAGACAGGGTTTCTCTATGTAACAGCTCTGGCTGTCCTGGAACTTGCTTTGTAGACCAGGCTGGGCTCGAACTCATATTCTCATGCCTCTGCCTCCTGAGTGCTGGGATCAAAGGTGTGCGCCAGCACTGCCCGGTTGTTCTTAGGGTTTTTGTTCTTTTTTTGCCTCTGGTTTGATGGCAGGAATAGGGATCTTTGCAGTGGGTCACAGCTGTGAACGGATCTGAACGGTCTGCCTTCAAAATGGACTTGACCCAGAAGAAGGCATTTGCGAACTGTGGTAGAAGAGAGCCTGTCTGCCGAGAACTTCCAGTGATCTGTAGCTGAGTTAAATTCATGACTAGCTTTGTGGGAATTCATCTTTACATTAACAAAAGCCCAAGCCAGCATCATACCTCAGTGAAATGAAGGTCTTGCTAATTCACAAAGTCTCTCCTAGAAACGGCTCAGGTCAGGTGGAGTGGAGTATGTCAGCAAGTTTGTTTTGATTCTTTGTTTTGGGTAGCGGTCAGCTGGTGGTTGGTAATGGTGTATTCATTTAGCATGGCTGTGGCCTTGCTTTCCAGTCATTCACTCTTTTGACAGGTGGTGTTTTGAAAACTTAATTTGGTGTATTGTGTGTGCGTGTGTGTGGTAGAGAGCCAGAGGAGGACACTTTGGGTGCCCCGTGTCATCCTTCACTGTATGCCCTTGTACAGAACCTGAGGCTTGCTATTTTAACTTGTTGGCTTCTGGGATCTGCCTGTTTCTATAACCTACCCCACCTGAGCTGGGGTTATAGACACGTGTGCTCCTGCTATTCCATGGGTGGTGTGGCTCCAAACTCAAGCTGTCATACTTGTACAAGCATTCTTTATCCACAGTTGTTTCTTGAGTGTGGTGTCCTACGTATGGGGTCAGGATCAGCAAGACACCTGTGATGAAGCCAGCTCAGCTCCTGCTCTCAGTGGGGCCGAGAGCTTTAAGTATCTGATTTGTCAAGTGTGCTGGTCAAGGGAATGTTTTAATGATCTAACTTAAAGCTAAAGAAAAAACCAAAAAGACCAATCCCTGTCTTCTGGGGTGGGCAACCTAGTCACGGGTTAGACACGTCAAACAGAACATTCCGAGAGGTGTCAGAGGGTAGAACTAGAAGCCGTGGTGGAGATGAGCTGCACCTGCTAATAACTGACTGCCTTCTACTTCCCCTGCTGCCCCTAGCATGGACAAGGACAGCCCAGATCTCCACCAGGACCTGAATGCGCTCAAAACAAAGTTCCAGGAGATGCGGAAGCTCATAGGCACCATGCCCGGCATCCACATGAGCCCTGAGCAGCAACAGCAACAGCTACACAGCCTCCGGGAGCAAGTCAGGACGAAGAATGAGCTTCTGCAGAAATATAAGAGCCTCTGCATGTTTGAGATCCCCAAGGAGTAGGGCCAGCTCCCAGGACAGCTGCCAAGGGACTGAAAACCTCACACCTGTGGTGTCCAGTCGGGAGCCTAACTCTAAACTATGAGGCCACATGTGCCTGGTGTGGGGCCTTATTGGCTGTACTCAGCTTTGACTAGCTACGCCTGGGCCTCATCAGAAGATCTAGAGGGCACAGGAGAGGAAGTAGCTGTTCCCTTCTTTCCCTCAGCTCCTCCCACTCCTGATACCATCAGCGTATATCAGGTACATACTGTTCCCATTAACAGCAGTTTCATGAAGCATTTACATAGAATTCGGGGGAAAATTAGGCCTACACTGAGATGGCATGGATTTAATATAATTAAAGAAGGCTGGGAGCGTGTGAACATTGTTTTGAAAGGCCAGAGGGTGGGTGGCTTCTCCCCCAAAACTGAGCTACTGAATTCCAGGTTCCAGCCTCATAGGCTCTTGCTCCCTTTATCTCCATCACTCCAGGCAGTGCTCAGAATAGCCAAAGCACCTCTTGCCTGGGGCCCTTTGTTCTTCCCACGCTGGCTCAAAGGAGCTGTTAAACCAGGAGCTCTGCCCTGATTCATCAGCCCTGGCTTACCACGTCATCTCTCCTCCAGCCAAGGAGTCAGCCTCATTTGCTCCTCTGCACAAGGTCCCTGCACACTTCTGATGTGGAGTGGCTGGAAGGGTAATGGGGCAGTTCCTCAGCCAGGGGTGTGTGTGGTCTGAGTCCTGTCCAAAGGGCAGGGAGAGCTAAGCCTGGCTCCATACCTGTGCTCTAGTTGTAGAGTGGCAGCTAGTCCCAGAGAGACACTGTGTTCTCTTCCTCCCGGGGCTGTCACACTAAGGGAGGGTGGCCCTTTCTCAGGAGTAAGGTGAAAAGTACAGAGTATTGTTTGGATCTTGAAATGGGCACAGCCTGGGCTGACCACTTTAGGACTTAGCAGGTGCCTGCCAACTGGCCTTGTTGGCAGGAGTGCTGGCTGGGGATGGTTTCAGTAGGGGTTCTTGTGGTACTGCCTGTCTGAGATGCCTCACAGTTGGGACTTGGGATGTGTGAAAGAGGGTGTTGAGTTGCAGTGGTTTGGGCAGAAAAGTGGGCTCTGAGGCGGAGAGGAGAGCCAATTAAGCCACGACTACCTGGGAACTGTTACTTAACTGAATCAGTTATTTTCCCATTTTCTGGAAATTTGAGCAGTGGGTGAGCCAGTTTTAAGGCTCTGCCCCACTTCTGTGAAGCACAGAACACACGACACGCAGGAGCTTCAGACCCTCCTACTAAGCAGAGAGAAAGGCTCCTCGGAGGGCTGGAGGAGGTAGAGACTCATCTGCAGACATGGGAATAAAGTATGCTGTGCTCTCAGGACACATGGTTTGCCTGCTGTCTTTTTCTTTATTATAATCCATTTTCCAGCGGTGTTAGGAGTCAGACCCTGGGATTGCAGGTTTTATAATGAAGAACTCAAGTGGGGTGTGGAGCAGTAGCAGTGGAGAGGCAAATGTTCTCTGTGCTCCTTCTTCCACCCAGCATGTGCATCCATTAGACTACATAAAAGCCTGCATGTCTCCTTCAGGGGTCCTGGGCAGCCCAGCCATCCATTGTTGAAAAGTGAATGCTTTTCTGTGATTTGAGAAGTGCAGTTCCTTGGAAGTGACCCTTCCCAAAACACGGTTGAAGTCCCACCCCCCAGGACAGTCTTAAGCATCAAGACCATCTTGAAAAGCACCAAATACTCGGCTCATGGGGTGCAGCAGTTGAGCTGATTCTGAGATACCATGCTGAACCCACACAGCATGTCTGTTCCTCAGCTGCAAAATTGGAGGCTTGGAAGGTGACACTTGCCTCAAGTTGACCTTAGGAGTGGCAAGGAGATCTGGGTCAGAAGCCATGAGCCCTAAGTCACAGAGGGAGACATCTAAGTGCAGAGGAGATGGGCCTCACCTGATAAGTGCTTTTGGAAGCTACGCTGCAAGTTCTCAGCACTTTACTAGGTCCTGCCGCAACCCTGGGCAGGGGCTAAGCACCTAGCACTAGCGTCTTCCAGTACCCCCTCAGGCAGGACCCCTTACCTGGGGAATCAGGGTCAGAGGGTCAGAGTTTCGAGAGTGACAGCTTTCCCTAGCCTGCCACGGTTGAGTAACAGATGGGCTGTGTGGAAGGGGAGTGTGAATTTATCTCCAGAAATGAGGCAAAGGGTGGCCAGAGAATGCCAGAAAGATCTAGAGCATGTCCCACTTTGAAGCTGGGAGGCCATTTTCAGAAGGCAAGGTCCATTCTCAGTTCTGCTTGACCACTGCCACTGAAGCAGGAACCCAGCTCCCTAAAAGTAAGAGCAAAGAAAGCCCCATTTTCCATTTTTAAAATTATTTTATTTTAAATTAAAAAAATAATAAAGACCTCACACAATAGAAATGTAGAGATTTTTGTTCATGTCATATTGACACCGGAACTAGATTAAAGTGCAAGTTTGGTGGCTTATCTTTGAACAATTACACGCACGCACACACACATGTAAACAAGTCTCTTGCCTATGATTGAAACCCCCCCACCTCACGCTAAAGTTTCCAGTTTGCGGAGGTTGCTGTCATGGCAACACCAATCACAGACAAGATAATGCCTTGTTGGTCCTGGCCCTCCAGCAGGCAGGACAGTTACAAGAAGTCTCACAGGCTGATGAACTTTACATACTCTCATTCTCATGTCTCAGAAAAATGCCAAGTACCCCTCTACTGGGTCCTGGCATCTCAGAAGTGAGGGCAGGCACCAGCTGGGTATCAGTGGCGAGAGAGTCCAGTCTTAGCCAGTTCTCTTTCCTTTCACAACAGATGACTGTCCCTTAATGGTCTGGCAGCGTCTCCCGGTGCGCAGGGCTGGGTCGCAGGAAGCGAGGGAGGAGGCCAGTTGGCGCCCACACGGCACCGAGCGCGCGGGGCTAGCCCAGGAGTCCAATTTGACTTTTGAACAAAAAAGGTCCTCAGGTTGTGTGGCCGACGCTGAGGGCTTCTAACTGATGACACAGCGCTCCTTGTCCTTGGCCTGGCTGCTGACACTGGTCTTTTCACGAATGTACATGAGGTCGCTGTGCACGCTAGGTCTGCGGGCAAAGGGCGCCAAGATTCCAAAGGCTTCGCCGTGGTCGCCGCCGCCACCGCTGCCCGCACGCAGAAGCTTCTTGTTCCTTAGAGCCTTTTTGTGCAGTACGTCGCAATACTGCACAGACACCTTGCGGTGCAAGTCGGGGCTCATCTCGCTCGGCAGCTTGGCCATGGCAAAGAGTGCACGGAACATCTGGTCCAGGCTGCTGTTCTTCTTAGCAGAGATCTCAAAGTAGGCACAGCGCTGAGGGTCGTCGCCCACCAGCTGCTCAATCTCCCGCTGCTCCACTTCGCGGTAGAAGTCCCGGTCCCCTTTGTTACCGCAAATGACCAGGGGCACGTCCACGTTCTCTTTGGTTTTGTTCTTGAGACAAGACTTGGTGTCCAGGATCTGCTGTTTGAGCCTTTGCACCTCCTCGAATGAGTCGCGGTTGTCCAAGCTGAATACCAGAATGAAAACGTCTCCTATAGGGGAATGAGAGGGAAAGGTGAGGGCGACTGTCAGGAGTGAAACAGCGCACGTCGGCGTCCCCATGCGCGATACACCAGACCCCCTCCCCAAGACTCCGGCCCCGGGATCCTAGTCGGCCCCCCACTCACCTGTTAGGATGGACAGGCGCCGCATGGCGGGGAACGGATGATTGCCGGACGTGTCCAGTATATCCAACTGGTAGACTTCGCCGCGGATCGAGTAAAACTTTCGGTGGAAGTCCTCTATGGTAGGGGTGTAGGTGTCCTCGAAGCGGCCCGTAAGGAAACGCGACACGATGGCGGTCTTGCCCACTTTGGATGAGCCAAGGATGACCATCCGGTAGCAGTTCTTGGCAGGGATACTCAGTTCAGAGTCGCTCGGGCACATCTTCTTGATCATCGCGGCCAGTTTCATTGGGCAGAGGGGCTCCGGGAGCAGACGCAGGGCCGAGAGAAGGCAGAGGTTCGGGAGTGGCAGAAGAGCTTGTCTTTGAGACCGTTCGAGCTTGGCTTGACTCTTGGAGACAGCAGGCTCTGGCTTTCTGCGCCCCACACCGCCCTTATATGCAGCGAGCCGGAGCGCCCGGGCTGGCGCCTCCCAGCCAAGGTGCGTCACGTCCCGCCCCCAGGCGCGCCCTGCTCCTCCTAGGCTCAGCGACCTCCGCCTTGGAGCCTGCAGCTCCGCTCCAGCCCTACGTGCGCTGGAAAGAAAACTAAGTCCAAACTACCGCCACGCGAGGATCCAGGGCTGGCCTCAGGGACCTCAGAGGTCGCAGGGGTCCTGGCTACGCCTGTGACTCTCTGACCTCTGGGATCCCAATTCTCTCAACACCAGTACGCGGATGCTCACTTTCCTTGGGTCTCAGTTTCCCAGAAAATATGACCCAGTGATAACAACAGGTGTGCTGGGAATTAACCCCAGCGCCAGCCCCCTCGGGTCCTGCTGCCTTTCCGGTCGTGGTGTTTGGGGGATTTTGAGTTTCCTGCGCTTAGGTCCGCGCTTTACGCTACAGCCACCAGAGGGAAGCAGGGAGCCCCGCGGGCGTGCTGGCAGGCCCAAGGTTGTAGCCAGACTTGGAGATTTAAGGCGTGGAGCCAACTGAAACCGAGCCCCACTCCTGTGCTATATTTTCCCAGTTACAGATAATCTGGTCTGTGGGGACCTCAGCAAGGGAGAGCTACCATCCTCTCTGTCTCTGACGACATACTTAGAGACACGTCTTTAAAAAAAAAAAATCAGTCCTAGGTCAACATCCCCGCCTACAGTCTCCCATGGCTTTCTGTTTTTTTCCCCCCTCCTGTGGGCCAATCATCTCATTTTGCATTGAGGGAGCTGAATGAAGCCCGCGAGCACAGCCTTCTCCGTAGCTCAGTTTCCCTTTCTGGAAGATGACACTGGTTCCTTGATTGTCAAATTACAAGTGCAGACACTTTCCAAGACCAGGGCCTAGTCAGAACAATAGAAGTGTATAGTGCCAGGGAGGCTGCCCAAGGAGGAAGGCAGCAGCAGGTTGATCAGTAACCAGGCCCGAGTAAATGCTTGGGGAGAAATAGGATGTTTGTGCTGCAGCTCGTAGTGACGAAGTCAAGCTGGGTTTTCACTCTGCTCTGACCTTGCCTGAATAGGAAAAGTCCAGAGACCCACGAGCTGACAGATGCCACTCACCCTACCAGGCAGTCTCTGTGCCCCACAGGCAGGGCTGTCACTCCACCTACTGAGATATTTGCATAGTGCCCCCACCCCCCAGGTTTTATTCCTTCCTTGTGACCCAGGATCTCAGCAGCAGCCATCCTGCCCAGGGGCCACATGGCCCAGGGGTGCTGATTTAGTGGTCCCTGGCCAGTGATAATGCACTCCCTGGAAGGGAGAAGCAGCACTCTGCACTTCACAGATGAAGAAACTAATGCACACGGAAGCAAGCTGCTTACCTAGCAAGTAGGCCTGGGGTTTGAGCCCCTGGGCCACGTGGCTCTCAATTGTCCCATCTTCACCTCTGCTTGTGCATCCCCCCCACCTCCTACTCTCCGCCGCCCCCCCCCCCACAGTGTCCACTACCCAGGCCGCTGCAATTGTCTGGCCATTTCAGTCCAGCAGGATTCCATATCCACTCCCCTTCCCTCCAGGCTGCTTCTTCATCCCTAGCAATTGAGTAACCAGGTGCCTCATCAGTTAGATCTAGGGCAGGCCAGGTGGGGTGAGTCCTTCACCTCTCTTGGTTCTTGCCCCTGCTGCTGCTCACCTCCCTCCCTTCTCCATCTGGGGTGTCTGGCCGCATCTGTGAGAAGAACCTGAGCTCAAACACAGGACTGCTATGTACAGCAATTAGCACAGGGTGTTCACTGTAGGACAGGGACGCTCAAGGGTGCAAGCCAAGGCTGTTGGCCCCAGACTGAGGCCCTTTTCCTTTGCCTCTAGAAGACATTGTGTGGGAGGCTGGGGCTCTGACTCAGCATGGCCAGAGTCAATGTCACCATTCCCCTGGGTCTCCAGTCCCAGGAAGATCCGAGGGATAAGAATAGATGGGGCTGGAGAGATGGCTCAGAGGTTAAGAGCACTGGCTGCTCTTCCAGAGGTCCTGAGTTCAATTCCCAGAAACCACGTGGTGGCTCACAGCCATCTATAATGAGAATTGGTGCCCTCTTCTGGCATACATGCCAGAACACTATATAATAATAAATTCTTTAAATAAAAAAAAAAGACTAGGAGGATGCCAGGGTCAAAGAAGTGGTCCAGCTCCACCAACAGCCATCCTGAGGGCCAAGGCTCAGCTTAGACTCATGGCCTCCTCTCCCTCCACAGT